GGGTTTTTTCTCTCCTCATTTTAGTCAGGTTTGCCAGGGGTCTATCGATCTTGTTTATTTTTTCAAAGAACCAACTTTTTGTTTCATTAATTCTTTGTATGGTTTTTTTGGTTTCTATTTCGTTGATTTCAGCTCTTATTTTTATTATTTCTCTCCTTCTATTTGTTTTGGATTTGCTTGTTCTTGTTTTTCTAGGAGTTTGAGATGTATCATTAGGTCATTGATTTGGGATCTTTCAGTCTTTTTAATATATGCACTCATGGCTATAAACTTTCCTCTCAGACTGCCTTAGCTGTGTCCCATAGGTTCCGGTAGGTTGTGTTTTCATTTTCATTGACTTCCAGGAACTTTTTAATTTCCTCTTTTATTTCATCGATGATCCATTGTTCATTAAGTAATGAGTTATTTAGTTTCCAGCTGTTTGCATGTTTTTTGTCTTTACTTTTGTTATTGAGTTCTACTTTTACTGCATTGTGATCAGATAGTATGCAGGTATTATTTCTATTTTCTTATATTTGCTGAGGCTTGCTTTGTGCCCTAGGATATGATCTATTTTGGAGAAGGTTCCATGGGCTGCTGAGAAGAATGTATATTGTGTAGAGGTTGGATGAAATGTTCTGTAGACATCACTAGGTCCATTTGATCTATTGCATATTTTAGATCTTGGATTTCTTTATTGATTTTTGTTTGGATGACCTATCTATTGATGATAATGGGGTGTTAAAGTCTCCCACAACCACTGTGTTGGCGTTTATATATGCTTTTAGGTCTTTCAGGGTATGTTTGATGAAATTGGGTGCGTTGACATTGGGTGCGTACAGATTGATGATTATTATTTCCTTTTGGTCTATTTCCCCTTTTATTAGTATGGAATGTCCTTCTTTATCTCGTTTGATCAATGTAGGTTTGAAGTCTACTTTGTCAGAGATAAGTATTGCTACTCCTGCCTTTTTTTCGGGGCCATTGGCTTGGTAAATCTTCTTCCAGCCTTTCATCCCTAAGCATATGCTTATTTCTGTCGGTGAGATCTGGTCTGTTACCAATCTTCTAAAGGCACAAGAGAATGGTCACTGCTGACCATTTATTTTTGAAAGCTTGCTGTGTAGAAGGGACATAAACACACCAATTTAATATGAATATCAATTTAATTTAATAAGAATAGCAAATTTGCTGTTAACAGATAAAATTACCTTTAATTATAATTTGTTAGCACTGAAAAATGTTCAGTTGATAATTCCATACTATATTTATACTTTATTCCAATTCTAGTATTTCTGCATATTTTATCAACTTTATACAATGACAAGTATTATCGGTTTATTTTCATCTTGTTTAGAGTGAGAAAGAATGAACAGAGGCAGATTCCACTGAAAATTATAAAGCTGCCCTTCACTGCCCTTCCAGTCCACCTCCTCCACAACTGCAAAACTCTCTCAAGCAAGTGAGCCTATGCTCAGTGCAGTCCAGTCTACTGGGATTCTGAGCCCACTTGTAACTCCCATTCTCATGACTCCTTTGCCTGAGACAGACCAAATTTGGGCCTTTTATAATACACAGTGAGATTTGGGGTCACTAAGATGGATGATTAGACCAGTTGTCAGGTTTTAATTTTCGCTTAGGATAGTCTATTTTCGATCTAAAAATTTAATTAACTTTCTGCCACAAATATTCATTGTTCACAGTGCTTTGCTGGTAAGATGCCTTTCTTTCACCTTTTCTTTTTCTTTTCTAAAAGTCTGAGCAATTTTCATTTCCTCAAGTATTGTGGATTTGAGGGCAAATGTGGGGTTTTCATTAAACTGTCTAGTTTCTTTAATGTGCAGAGATGTTTTGACACCCTTTTATTACCTACCTCATTCAAGGAGTATTTGATTGCTTGGTTTCTCTGAAATAACAGTCCAATTGCTAATCCCCTGGGCTTCTCACAAGAACGGGAAACCATTAAGTGTCAGGCATTAGGTTTCAGATTTGTGAGGAGGTTTTGGCCAACGAACTCCTAGAACAAATGATTTTAGGACACATATCCTCTGGCTTCCTTGTAGCTATTGACACTGCGGACTGCCCTCATCTTTCTCTTCTTTTTGTCTTCCATGACCTTTATGCACAGGTGTCTCCTGGGCTCTGTCCTCTGTCTCCTTCTGTGGCCCTCTGCTTTCTTCTTCCCAATAAATGTAAACATTCCCTGGGATCTCTTCTGATTTCTTCCTGTGTGAATTCCCCCAGGGTTACATTATCCCTTCTGTTTCCTGTGTCCCAGTAACACAAATTTCTCTATCCATAGCACTTTTCAGATCCCAGGCCTGCATTGCCAACAGGATTTTGGAAGCATTCACTTAATGTTATGAAACTCAATCTAGCCAAAATAAAAGCTTTCTCGCCAGGTAAACACCACACCTGCAGCCATGCCGGAACTTTCTACTCTTATCAATAGTACTACCATCATCTGACATGAAAACCTCTGAGCAAGTTCCAAGTCTCCCTTCCCCAGTTGATTGTACCTCTCCTGTGCAATGCAGTGCTATAGGTCAGTTTTTTATTACTTCTTATCTGGTCTCATCCCTTCCATCCAATCAATTCTGAACAGTACCAATAAGACAATCTCCCTGTGGAACAGCGCATCTAAAAACAGAACTTTCTCAGCTTCCAGGCTTGCTACCTTCAGTTTATTCTGTAAGGTGCTGACAAAGTGATTAGTCTAAAATGCAAATCAGAATTTGTTTCTTACCTGCTTAAAATGCTTCAGTGGCTCTCTTGTTCCCTCAGGTTAAAATCTAATTTGCTTAGCATGGTGTTATTGCTCACTTCAAACCTTTGCTCAAACCATTCCAAGATTTGAATGATGAAGTCAAATGAGTGAATGCACCTAAAGGATATTAATCTTGGGCTTTTGCTAAGATGTGTCTACTAATCATCATTAGTTTTTTAAAGAGAGCTGTATGGCTTCTCCCTGCATTCCCAGGCAGTCAGTACAGTGTCCTCAAATAGAACTTAGTTTAGCCAGTCCTAACCTCCTTTCCAGCCTTCCTGCACACCATATCCTCTTATAATATTGTGCTTCAACCAAGTGGCCTACTAGTCAGTCCCTGAACACATGATGTGTTTCCCCAAAAGCAGATCTTTCAGGACTCTCCAAGTGAATACCTTCTCTCCCCCTTCTCCGTCAGCCAAAATATTAATACTGTAACAATGAGAGTTTCTATGATTCTTTCAAATCATTATATTCTATCTTCTGAATTTGTCAAGAGTTTTCAGTCTCTTAATGTGTTATTTCAGTATGTTATTGCCACCCCAGTAGATATAAACTCTTTGAAAGAAAGAATGTAAGACTTAGATAGTCAACCATGTGTTTAGAAATCCCAGTTCCCACCCTTCTGTAAGTCTCTTAACCTTGCTAACTTTATTTGCCAACGTGATCCTGGAATTCATAATCTACCAGGGCACATTTACCAAAAGTTACTAGTATACTAAAGAACTTATTTAGCTTTTTTGTCATTTTGGACAAATGACAGAAAAAGGAATAATTATCCTTAAAGCATTTTTCCAGCCTTGACTGAGATGCAGAGCTCTAAATTATTATTTAGACGTTTAGTGTTAGCTCAGACAAGTTCATTATTTGAGAACTATTGGTTTAATTGTTTAGTTACACTAAACTAGAAATTCCCTCTTTTGTCTTCCTGTTCAGTGGTTGGCTCTACTCCAGACTTGTAATTGTATGTCTCCTCTGCAGGACAAGGCTTTTTGTGGTGGTTAGTGGTGGTAGTGGTTTTGTTTTTTATTTTGTTTTGTTTCCTTAAAACTTATGCTAACAGTCAAAGTCTTAGAATATTGTGGTATCTTTTATACTACTTTCTTGTTGATAAGGTTTTAATTTCCTGGTTTGTTGTTTTTCAAGTCATTCCAGAGTTGAAGGAAACCTCTTTGTTTCTGGATTTCTAAGACATTGAAAAGCCTGTGTTTTCTTTTTAAAAGTTCTGGATCTACTTTGCATATCCAGTAGTGTATGCCTGTTTGTTTTCAGTAGTGAGTCCAAGTTCTTGCATTCCCAGAAGTTAGTAACTTTTCTAAATATTTGAAAAGTGTGATAGAGGAAGAAAGAAGAAAATTACCTGGAATTTGTTCTCCCCAGTGAGAACCAAACTATCCAGCCCCAAGTTCAATGTTCAATGCTCAGTTTAGCCTTTTCCTGATCTCTTTCCTAAGCCCATGTCTCTTTTCATTGTTCCATATATATGTTCTGTATATAAAAGGAACTAGGTAGAAAGTTTTTGGTCTCTTCTTGTGGAAAACTCCTTTTGATAAATCATAGAACAGTACATGATGATTCAGAAGAACAGATGGAAAGGGTATTGATTTTATGAATACTATATAATGGCCTTATTGTCAATGTGTCTAGTTATTAAAAGTCATATTTCTAATGTAGTTGTTAGATACTCTACCAAAAGAGAAGCTAGCATTTTTTTACTAGTCCATAGACTATTGTGAAACCAGCAACAATGTCTATAAAAGCCAATAAGTGCATACATAATGTAGATATAAGTAAAACTACAATGCCAGAATTTTGGGTAACTTCCAATCTCGTTAGTATGATGCTGACATTCTCTTAAAACAGCATAATTAGAAGCACTCTGAGGAACAATGTCTTCTCATTTTTTATTGTAATAAAATCTTCCATTAAAATAACTGGATTCTTCATTACATGAGAACTGCAAAATAAATGGCCTTTGAATAAATGGATATACTTTCAGAAAAACTTTTTTATGAGCAAACAAAGGAGTCATTTCAGTTTCTACAGTGTTTTGGACTAGACGACCTTGGGGACAGTATCAATACCTTTCATCCTGGGTTTCCATATTGGCAAACATGTTTGTAGCAACACTATGGCCTACAGAAGAGGCTTGTGCTAGAAATAATTCCCATTTGATTATGAGCTCCTAATGTGAGATACTATTTTATAGTCTAACTTACTTTGCGCTGTTTTGTTCGTTTGCTTTCCATACTAGGCCATTGGTGTCCGACTGAATGAGCTGTGTCATGGGGAGAGTGAGAGCCCTGCCAACCTACTGGGTCTCATCTATGATGAGGAGACCAAGAGGAGGCTGAGAAAGGAGGATGAGGAGGAAGACTTTTTAGATGACAGTAAGGAGACTCCCTTTACTACAAGAGCCCCTGCTTGTAAGAATCTCTGCTTTAGGAGCACTTACTTCTTTTTCCTCTCTCATACTCTTCCCACCTTCCCACATCTCCTCACTGCCCTTTCCCTCTCCTACACATGGATGTAAAGCATGTGCATAAAGCCTCACAAAGAGAAGGTAAAATTCTGGAGGAGAAGGTAGACAGGCAAAGACAGCAGGCAATGTGAAAAATCCATTACATTTAGTCTCTTAACTTTAACTTTATACATGGATTTGTATTAGGCCTCTCTGAGAGAATCTCTCTGAAAGAGTAGAGTTGTGAAAAACTACTGTCCCAGAAGGGTTTTTGTGTTACTGCTGTTGGAAAGTCACACAACATAGAATTGAACAGGAAATGCTTTCCAAATTTCTGAAATATTTAATCAAAGTATATTTCAGCATTTAACATGAAATTAAAATATTAAAGTAGTCACTTTGCCTAAACTGTGAATGTCTGATCTGCTACATTTGTTTATTAAACTCATCATTGAATAGTAGATATACAAAGATTCCTGTTACATCCATCTGCAACACCATTTGTACATCTGTATGCTCTGCACCATGCAAATTTGTGTGTATGTGTACCACGGCCTTTATGCAGTACAAAATTCTAGTGATGGTGGTAGAATTAGCAGCTTTCTATAATGGTGGTGTGAAACTCAAGCTCCCTGGTTATATTTTAAGGGTTATTGACAAATTCATTGCATCCTTGCAGTCATGAAATATAAAAGAATGGCTAGAGTGTAATGGTGCACAGGACTAGGTGATAATCAAAGAAAGCTCTTATGATGTTCCTTTATACTTTCCCTTTCTTATCAAATCAGAGCAAATCTCATTTACTTATTTATTGATAAAATACAAAATTCTCACATAAGTATTTTAGCCTAATGATGAAAATTGGCCCTGAAGATAACATAGACTATATTAGAATGACTTGTGTAATTGAATCTAACCCATGAAAAAAATCTGAATGACTGTCTAGCAATCACCAATTCTCGTGAAGCCCTGCTGATATAAGACCCATAGAGCCAAAAGCCAAAACTACCCTGAAGTTCCCAGAGACCCTTCAGAACAAAAGAAGAGAATCTTTTTAGGTCACAGAGAATGCAATCTCCACTAGACCACAAGTGTATCATTTACCTACATGTTATGTATGTCAGCTTTTGAGGGAGACTAAGGAGAACTCTGTCCTTGTTCACTGTAGCAAGATATTTCATATGATAATCATGAGACAGCCTAGGTGAAAATCAAGTACACTGTCTACAGGACAGATGGAAGAATGCAGATGATAACTCCAGGAGTAAAAGGACAGATACAGAAGTGTATACTGAATGTCTGGTGTTCAGTGTCCTGCACTGAATATGATTGGTATGGGTAATTTAGTTTCAAATCAATACATAGCTCATCTTGCATTTAAAAGCCAATTATGGTGTGACCATGTTTCAGCTTGGGAATTCTGCAGAAGCTTGTCCCTTCCAGTCTTAATGAGAGGAAAAGTCTCTGGAGAGAAAGCAGTGGTTTCAGGAGGAAACAGTGGCCTAGATAATTTCATGAGACCAGAATTTTCACCTATGAAAAGAGAAATCATCAAGTATGTATACTATTCAATTAAGAAAACTTGCTGGGATCCAGTGACTTAGGCCTGCAATCCTAGCTACTCAGGAGGCAAAAATCAGGAGGATTGGGGCTTAAAGCCAGCCCTAGGAAAATAGACCTATCTCAAGAAAACCTATCACAAAAGAAGGGCTGACAGGGTGGCTCAGGAGGTAAGAGTGCTGCACTGAGTTCAAACTCCAGTACCGCCAAAAAAAAAAAAAAAAGAAAGATTATCAAAACCAGGTGCTGGTGGCTCATGCCTGTAATCCTAGCTATTTGGGAAGCTGAGATTGGGAGGACTGTGGGTCTGAAACTAGCCTGAGCTAATAGTTCACAAGACCCCATTTCCAAAATAACCACAGCAAAATGGATTGGAGGTGTGGCTCAGGTGGTAGAACGCCTGCATGCAGGAAGCCCTGAGTTCATGCCATACCACAGTCCCACTAAAAAAAAAAAAATTTAAAGAAAAAGGAAAACTTAATAACTGCTACATATTTTAGAGATATTTATAGCAATATTGATAAGTATTGAGCTTGTAGTTGCTTGATGACTTGATTCATTCAAAATAAGTAACTATTTCTTTTATGAGATAGAATTTGTTCTTCTTCTGCAAACACTACATAATCAGTAAATTTATCCATGGTCCACTATAACATATATCTGAGAACTAATTCTGAGAATTTTTAGTCTCTCTTGGCCATTATCCATCTTTAGATCAAAATCTATTAGTTAGCCTAAGGTGGATACAGTGTTTTGGAAATTCAAAGACCAGTATTGTTTAGCTCAAGAGAACATTTGCATACTTGTAGTATAGCTGTGTCTTATTATGATGGGGTAGCTTGTGTAAACTGTGTGGGATAGGTGATCAGGTAAGTATGTTTTCTCTTGTTTGTGTTGTACAAACATGACAGAAGTAGAGATGAAACAACATCACTGCTCTTCAAACATCAAGACCAACATCCCATCATAAAATGAGCTGAATGGACTTTTGTAGTTCCAAATCTATTTCATTGCCATATACATAGTCTGCATCTGATTGAATGTAAGGCTACTTTTTAATTTCTGTTTTCATTAAAGAGTTCTCTAGTTTAGTTGGGGTAATAATTTAGTTCTGCTTATCTGACACTTAATATTGAAACACTCATTATGGGACTGCAAAATGGAAGGAGAGGTGTACAGTAATGCATAGATTATGCTAAGAGTAGAGAGTAGTAGGTAAATTTAACTTGTGTAGGTAATATTCTCATATTCAGTTTGATTTTACATGTGTGTAAGGAGGTCCATCAAACCTTGCCTCTCTGTTTATTACTGGTTTGTCTTCTTATGAAAAAACTCCTTCATTCCTTAGGTACTGTGAACCCCTCTAAATGCGGCTGCCCCTTTGCCCTGAAGATGGCAGCATGTCAGCTGCTCCTGGAGATTACCACCTTTCTGAGAGAGACCTTTTCTTGCCTGCCCAGACCTCGCACTGAGCCTCTGGTGGTAAGTAAAAGCGTGAATGTTAATAGTCAGGCTACTGGAAGAGGCCAGAGTTGAGGATGGTTTCCCTTACGTGTTCCATAACCAAACACATCACATACTTTAAAAATTCAATCTAGGGATTTTTCATACATAAAAAGAAATGCCCTTTTCTCTGTAATAATACTAATTCTAAAGTTGACTTCAAAATTCTTAGATAGCACTTCCAAGAATGTACAATGTTTGACTGGTTCCCAGCAGTGATAATGAGAATGTCTAAGAGCCTGTAGGTTCCCTTACCCTGCAAACTATGAGGAGTTTTATGTCCATCCTTTTTCAGAAATTGCCAATAGGTATTGTTATACTGACTGTTCATAAATTCATACAGAGATGTGCTTCCAGTGAGTTTTCTCACATTGTGGGTTAAAAGACTTCAGTGTCTAGTATCTAAACATTCCTAAATGTATATTATTATTTGTGTAGCATTTCTTATGTATTATGGGTAGGCAGAAAACATGAACAGACAGACACACAGACACATACACAAATACACATTCACATACCAGATAACCATTTGTTTAACATGAGTATAAATAACATGCATGGACCAGCAGTCTTCAGAGCACATGGTACCAGGGAAAAGCTTGGTGTTGATTTTTCCTGGACTCTACTTCCTTAATGGGAACAAGTTTCCAGTGGTCCTTTTATCATAGGCATCATCCAGTCAGAGCTGAGGAACCAGGCAAAGCCTTGTTCTACCTTGTATATACTCTCCTAGAAAAACTGTTACACTAGCAATCTATGTGCTTCCATTTATTTTATAATCTACCACCTCTCCTGCTTTGTAAACCAAACTCAGCATGAACAAGGCAGTGCCCCTTTCCTAGGGTGGGGCCAGCGGTGGAGAAAGGAATCAGTGTTTTGGTATCACAGAGCGGTACCTCTGCCTTTGGTTTTCTAGTGTTCTAGAAACCCCATTTTCTCACACTCTAAAAGGTAATATGAGTGTTTTCAAGTTGAAAATCTTAAAGAATAAAATGTATGTTTTCAAGATAAATATACCCACATTTAGATTGTGAAACCATATCATTTGGATACTGCCCTATTTAACTTCTTTATGTTAACTTGTCCTCTAATTCTCTGAATTGTCGTTGTCATTTTTCAGGCCATTCTGTAATGTTGACTCAGGTCCCTCAAAACATTTGAAATCAAGTATGGTAGAATATCTGATCTGTGTGCTTTTGTCAGTGTTATCCCTATCAACCTTCAAATATGCTGATCTTCATAGAGCACTGAGTACATCTGCTTTTAAATTTTCAGATTTCAATGGCCACCATTTTGATATATTTCATAAAAACTTTTTAATAAAAACATAAGGATCTCGGTTTGACTCAGTTTATTTTTGTTCTTCCTTTTTACTTTCTAAAGCTGTAGTTTTATTCCCCTTGTTGTTGTGACAAGTTTCTTTTTAAAAATCAATCAAATCTTTTAAAGCTCTAAGCATGGTGGTACATGCCAAAATTCCAGCATGAGAGGCTGGGGCAAGAGGGTTGTGAGTTCGAGACCAGCCTAGTATATGCAGCAAGACTCTGTCTCAAAAAGAAAATGCAAAACAAAACAAAAACTAGCATTTGCAGGAAATGCCAAGTGATTTAGTTAACAAGAAGAAAATTTTTACTCCTTTGTTACCCTTAACTAGAGCTCAGAAATCTTTTACTCCTTATACTAGCATTTGCATTGTTAAGTGTCGGTTTATGTATTGTGCTGGCATGGGGCCTTTATAAAATAAAGGGAGAAAGAAGACATTTTTCCCTCATATTTAAGTTAGCTATACTTGGTAGTAAAGAAAACTCAAACCAAATTCAAACTTACTGCAGAAAGATTGAGTATCATAAAACTGTTTCACCTACACAGAAATACTTGAAATTTTTTCCCATTTTAAATGGCAGGAAGAATACTTAGCACAAAATTTATTCTTTTAACAAAATTTTAAGTGTATACTCATTATTGTTGACTATACATACAATGCTATACAGCAAGTCACCAGAGCATATACATCTTTCCCATTGGTTAGTGATACCATTTTCCCTTCTCTAAAGCCCCTGGCAACACCATTCCTCTTTTAGATTCCATGAATTTGACTATTTTAGATACTTCATATAAGTAACATATTAGTTACTTGTGCATACCTGTCATCAAAATACCTGAGAGAACAACTGAAAGGAGGAAGGATTTCTTTTGCCCACAGTTTCAGAGGGTTTAGTCCAGGGTCAGCTGGCCCAACACACTTGAGCAAACATCATGGGAGCAGGAGTGTATGGAGGAGGAGACTGTTCACCTCATGTTACACAGGAAGCAAAGAGAACAAGGAAAGGGCTAGGGATCAGGTATAGACTTCAAAAGCATGACCCTAGTGGCCTATTTTCTCTAACTTGCCCCACCTTTTAAAGTTTCCATACCCTCCCAAAATAGCACATCAGCTACAGACCAAGTGCTCAACACATGAATCTGTGGGGGGACATTTCATATCCAAACCATAATAAGTAGAATTATAAAGTGTTTACCTGTCTATAACTGGCTTGTTTACTTAGTACAGTGTCCTCACAGCTTATCCATGTTGCGTATGACAGGATTTCCTTCTTTTGAAATGCTGAATAGTTTTTAAAGAAATTGTATGAAGCGGTGAATCTTATACACTAAGCATGAATACAAACAGTGAAAATGTTCTAGTGTTTAAACAAAACACGTTTGAGAATACTTACAAACCTTTGAAGTATTTATTTCACTAGTATTATACTGTAGTAAAACTAAAGAGTTACGTTAACGTAGAGAATAATGTAAGGTAATGTAATAATCATGTTAGAAGCTAAAAATGTTCTGGGATCTGAGACTTTGGCATGAAAGAGGATCTGAAACCCAAACTTTTTACCAAGAAAAAGTATTTCTGGTAGAATGCCATAAGGTCATTTCCAAAGTGGAAGAGATTTCCATCTGAAATGCTTGCTTGAAAAAAATCCTAGTTACATTCAAAATGTGCAAGAGAAAGAAAGAGAACTTTAAATTCAAAAATCAAATCAAAATTTAGTTTATTTAACTCTAATTATTTCTTAGAAAGTGTCAGGAAAATCCAGAAAGCCCCTGGATGAGTGGAAAATGAAGGTAAAAGAAAAGAAAAAAAATTGTCATAATATTAAAGCATTGTTTAAAATGTATTTTTGTGAACCTAATGATTTTTTTCTCATACGGATCCCCAGAGGTAATATAGTGTGCTTTTTTCCCCAAAGAAACAACTTGTCATAGCATTTTTCTCCACTATTTTTGTAAACCACACAGAAACATGTTTTAAAGGGGGAAAAGAAGCATTTTTACAAGAGTTTTGATATGACAGCATAGTAATCAAATTTTTTTCTCTAAATGTGACCTTCCAAACTTGAGAAAAACAATGGAATATTTTTTACCTCTAGGTAAAAATTAATTAATGGTCTATTAAAATGTTTCTCAATTAGTTGGTAAAACCAATAGCCAGTGATCAAGAAATATTGAATTAAAACAAATAATGTAGTCAAATGCATAGGTGAACCTATAAATATAATTCGTAAAGGCAGTAAAGAGGTTTCTGTATGTCCACACTCATCCATTAGGGAAAACAGCACACTGGATGCTTTAATGCAAGATTGTGCTAGAAGCTGTGCCAACTGTGTCACTGGAATTTAACAAGTCAGGTTATGAAATATTCACTTCTGGATTCCAAATGCTCTTAAAGTTAAAAAAATAGAAACAAAACAATTTATCGAGTGAATTCAAGTATTATATATTTGATATAGTGTGAAAACATTTGTAAATGCTACAATGTACCCCCCCAGCACAGCAATAAAAAACACACAAAATATCAATTTAAAAAACCGCACAATTTATCTATACAAAGTCCAAACTAATGTATATTTATTGGGACTAGGCTGTGAGCAAGGTGTTTTGGTGGTTGCCAGGCTGCAAATGGGGGTAAAACAGAGATGAATACATTGTAACAGAAAAACTAGCACCTAAATGGCTAATTTCTAAAATAAAATATAAGAGTAGTCTTGAGAAAGTAGCAAAGGGCTTTGTCTCACCAAAGAAGGGACTGGAAAATGAGGAATCTCCTTGGAAGAAGTAATATTTGAATGTAGCTTTGAAAAATTACATGGGATTATGATAATGGAATAGAGAAGAAATTGGAGGGTAACTGCTTTTGAGAATCAGAATTGTGATAGTATTCTTTTTGTTCCAACAAAGAGATTTCCTTAATTACTTTGGACTTATTGCTGAAAGGGAAAATAGATTAGCATTTTTTCTTAAAAGTAATTTTCAAGAAACAATTCTATTCCTAGAATAATTTTTATAAAATAGATTTCATGGAGATCTTTTATGCTCCCAGACATGATATTGGGTTTTTTATTTTATTTTATCATTTTTACATTTACTTACATGTGTATACATTATTTAGGCCACCCCCACCCCCCACACCACGGGGGGTGGTGTGCATAACCTGTTCCCCCCTCTTGTTCTCCAATTTTGTTGAAGAAAAAACATATAAGATAAAAAGAAAAACATGGTGTTTTGCTAGTTTGGAATGAAGATAGCTATACAGGGAGATTCCTTATGTTGTTTCCATGCACATATGTATTACAACCTAAATTGTTTTATCTCTACCAGACCTTTTCACTACTCCCTAGTCCCCATCCCATAGTGTCCTGTGCCAGTTTAAGATTACTATATTTGCTCCTATACCTTGAGCATATCAACCACATTCAAGTTTTGGGTTTCCTTCCCTTTCCCTATTCCTCCTGTGTAGTATTCTCCCCTTAGGGTGTGACCCGTGTCCAATAATATCACTGCATTTGTTTAAGGTCTATAATCCACATATGAGGGAGAACATATGATTTTTGGCCTTCTGAGCCTGATTAACCTTACTTAAGATAATGTTATCCAATTCCATCTATTTTCCTGCAAATGGAAATATTTCATTTTTCTTTGTGGCTGAATAA